CGTCCCGGGGAGCACGCGGCCAGGCACCGGCAGAAAACGCTGCCCGTCTCCTGCCTGCGCCTCGGCAGCCGGCAACAGGGAGCAAAGCACGGGAATTGGGGCAGTGGCCACATTCACAGGGCCACTGGCCACAAGGAGCATGTGGGATGACGAGGCAGGGCAGCTGCCAGGTCTCCTCCATGCCAGCCTCTGCTCTGCTAGCCCCTGCCTTCACCAGGGTGGTTTTTTGGCCCTCCCACGGCACGGGGCCGGACCACTGCAGGGCTTAGGAGCGGCTTCAGCAGGCAGAAAACTTCCTCCAGCCCACGTCTGCTGCCAGACCTGGGCAGCACACAGGAGGCCAGGCAGTCCCCAGCCTGGCCGGGGACGGATGCGGTGGCAGATAACATCGGCAAAACCCTCAGCACAAGCATCTCACACGCCAAACCGCGTTTCCTGCTCGCCAGCGCCAATGTGCAGCTGGTGGTGAGGCCCAGTGGGGGAAGGCAACGTGTTTACCTTCATCTCTGCCCGCTTCGGAGGGGAGATTTTTGCATCGTCTACTTTGATCTCCCCCTCAGGCATCTTGTTGAGGCACTGAAGGATGATACGGAGGGACTGTCGCATCTCTTCCACGCGGCACAGGTACCTGTGGGACACCCACACCGCTCAGGACCCGTGCCCTGCATAGTGGCCGCCCCACCGGGCACACACGGCCTCTCCGCAGGCCCACGGAGAAGGTTTGACCCTGCCGAGGTCTCCCACGGCGCCTTGGCACATGGCAGAACCAGGGTGCGACGTACCTGTCGTAGCAGTCGCCCCGGGAGCCGATGGGGACATCGAACTCCACCTGGTCGTAGACGTCGTAGGGCTGGGTCTTGCGCAGATCCCAGTGGATCCCCGAGCCCCGTAGCATCACCCCACTGGGTGGAGGAAGGTGGGTGAGCAGCCTGCCCAAAGCGGGGGCCCCAGCCCCACACCAGCTCTGGGCCCTCCCCATGCCCCAAAGCGGACCCCGACACAGGGGAAAGCAGCCACACGTCCCCCGCCTGAGCAGCGGCCATGGGAGGACGGCTTGAGGACATCAGGCAGGTAAAGCCAGGCAGGACACTGCATCACAGCTCCTGCCAAGCTGCAGCCGCCGGGCAGCTCTGCCCTGACAATCACCGGTGTTCTCGATCCCCAAGATAGCTCTGATCAGCCCTAGGGACTCCCGCCATCAGGTCCAAGACCTTTGGGGACGACACAGCTGAGCGGTGGCAGGAGGCTGAGGCCCCCCCAGCGTCCCCACGAGCCACTAGACACACCTGAACCCGTAGTTGAGAGCCTCCTCTGCTGTTATCACCCCGATGTCGACCGTGCGGTTCCTCCAGATGCGGTTGTTTGTGAGCATCTGCAGGCAGCAGGGCCGTTAGTCACCTGTCCCTGGCAGCAGCTGCCTCTCCCCAACTTCACACCCTCTTTCCTGACCCATGTCACCTTGTCACTGCTGCCACGGGAGGAATAACCCCACACTGGCCATGCGTGGGGACAGGTATCGGGAGACCCCAGCCCTCAGGGTGCTGAGAAATGGGGACCGTCCCTGTCTCCCAGGTTTTGAGCAGCTCCCATCCCACCTCACCTCCTCCACCTCATCTATCCGCATGGAGAAATTCTTCACGAACTCATAGATGTCGTCCATCAGCCCCAGGGGCAGGTCCTGCACAGGAGGAGAGGGAGATCAGCCCATGCATGACCGGTGGCACCAAGGACACAGGCAGGGAGGCACCATCACCCACGCAGGGACATGTGGACACCCTGCACATCCCCGTCAGACCAGAGGGGCTCTGCAGGGAGCCAGGGCATGGCACGGACATTACCTGGTGCACCCCACCGGGGCGGATGTAGGCAGCGTGCATCCGCGCCCCCGAGACCCGCTCGTAGAACTCAAACATCTGTGGGGACAGAGGAGATCCTGCTGCATCCCAGCATGGCACCACGGGCAGCACTGAGCCCCAAATCCACCGCCCTGCCGATCCCCTGGTACGGTCACGCTGCTCTTTACCTTCTCTCTCTCCTCAAACATCCAGAAGAAAGGGGTCATGGCTCCGATGTCCAGCGCGTGCGTGGTCACAGCCATGATGTGGTTGAGCAGCCGCGTTATCTCTGCGAAGAGGACTGGGGGCAGAGGGGGTGCAGGGGTTGAGCACCTCTGGCCTCCTGCCCCCCCGGGGAGAGGGAACGGGGGCTGAGCCCCCAGAAAGCCAAGAGCTATGAGCTCTCAGCATGGCAGGCAGGAGCGCCTGCCTCCGGGACGGAAGCTGGAGCCCCCGCAGAAATGGTACAAGGACGCGTGGGGCTGCCCTCACCTCGGATCCACTGAGCCCGCAGAGGGGGGCGGATGTTGAGCAGCTTCTCCACGGCCAGGGAATAGGCCTGCTCATTGCACATCATGGAGACGTAGTCGAGACGGTCAAAGTAGGGCAGCGCCTGCCGAAAGAAACGGCCTTGAGCAGTGGCTGCTGGCACCCACAGCCAGGTAGCGAAGACTCAGGACTGCCAGGAGCACTCAGAGGCTTCACCACAACCGGGAAGCACCGGGATGCAGCCCCCAGACACAGCATCCTCCCAGCTCAGGCAGCATCGAATGCGACAGCAGCTGTGAATGCAGCCCAGAAGCTCCGGCCCCAGCCTCGAGTGAACACACGGACATCCCCACTTTAGGATAAAGCATGAACGAAGACAGACAACGTCCCTTGGACAGAGCTTGGACAGAGTTTTCCAGCTCACAGACACTGCGAGGGCCCTAATCCTGCACTGTCGGCACATGCCAACTGAGGAGCGTCTCTGCTGCACAGCTGAGTGCAGCTGTCACAGTGCTGCCCTGAGCCACAGCGGGAGCCAAGGCAGAGCTCCCCTCCGGCCCTGGGCTGTTTCAAGCTCCATTTCTCCCACTGGCGGAAAAGTTTAACACCATTGGGACAATAAATCATCAGGGGTTGTTTATAAACACTGCTGCAAACCCTGACAGTCAAATAAATCCCCCCCCCAATGCACTGAGGAGACTGCTGATCACAGAATCGATTTGGTTGGAAGAGACCTCTGGGATCATCGAGTCCAACCTTTGCCCTAACATCACGATATCAGTTAGATCATGGCACTAAGTGTCCCGTCCACTGTTTTCTTAAACACCTCCAGGGATGGTGACTCCACCACCTCCCTGGACAGCCTATTCCAATGCCTAATAATCCTTTGTGTGAAGAAATGCCTCGTCATTTCTAGTCTGAACTTCCCCTGGCACAGTTTCAGGCTATGATATATCCAATCAGATAGCTGCAAACAGACGGACATCAACAGCCTCTCAGCTCCTAGTTTCCTCACCCCAAAAGGACACCCCTTGCTCTCCCCACAAACAGACACCAGCCCCCAGGATGGGGAAGTGCTGGGAGCCAGCTGTGCCTTACCTGGAGGTATGTCTTGTACTCAATAAGCTTCTCAGTGCCCCGATGCAAGAGGCCAATGTGGGGGTCACACTTCTTCACTGTCTCCCCACTCAGCTCCATGACTAGCCGCAGGACCCCATGGGCAGCCGGGTGCTGAGGCCCAAAGTTTATGGTCAAACTGGAGACCTTCTTCTGAGCCAGAGGGTCCTTGTCTGCTCAAGGGAGGAAAGTGGAGAGTCGGGCAGGGAGGAACGTCCACTCCCAGAAGCGCTGCTGCCCCCGAGCGCCCTCGGCCTTTCCCGGCAGCACGGACACGCAGAGTGGATGCTGGACAGATGTCCAAGCCAAGCTCAACACTTGGCTGGACATCAGGAACGCAGCGTCCCC